GTGACGAATGCGACGTATGGTTTCTGAGACGGTAACACTTGGGCTTTCACTCCTGTGGCACTAAATTTTTTCTTAATTCATTTTGAGTTAGAAAAAAAATTATTTGATTTTTATCTCATTGGGATTCAATAACTTCAATAAATATCAAGGATCCCATTACTGTAGTCTCCTCTCGCGAGAAGAAATTCATATTAATATTATTTTAGAATGTGGTTTTGTAGCTATCATTTATTTTCTCAACTCTCACTTTACCTACTTTTTTGACAAATTTTTTTTTTAAATTAAACACTATCTACAGATTTGCACCGAAGCGTTTTTTATGACAGTGATTCTAATCGCTGTCAGATATCATCTATACTGGNTTCTAATCGCTGTCAGATATCATCTATACTGGACTCCACTGTGCTGGGTTTTTTTTTATATATAATTACTTATTTTTAATAATAAGTAATAATATTAAAACTTAGAAGTGTTACAAAAAGTCTAATTGCACAGCGCGAAAAGTTGATTTAGAAAAGTATATTTTTGTTTCTGATGAAAGTTCCTTATAATCCAGTGTATAAAACTTATAACTTTTTTATAAGTAATATAAATTTTTTATTAAAAAGTATTGCATCAAGCTCTTTAAATTTTTATACGCATTAAAAGTAAAGAAATATACAACTACTTTATTATTTTTATAATTTCTCCGTAAAAATTACAATATTAAATTATTGAATATCAATTTCATACTAAATTTAATTACTATAATTATTATTTATTCATATATTATAATAATAAATCAAATTACTAATCGGGGTAAAATTAAGGGAATAAGAGTTTTTGTTGCTTTTGAAATAACCTACCAATTTCTTAAAATTAAACACTGTCTACAGATTTGCATCGAAGCGTTTTTTTTTATAGTGATTATAATCACTGTCAGATATCATCTATAGTTGTCCCAACTATACCACTTCCGTACTGCGCCGTAATCCCACTGTACTACCGTTTTTTTCATTATAAAAGTCCATTCTTTAAACTAGCATAAATGTTAAAAATTATACTTTTTTTATGTTAAAATTGTATGGAAAAAAACCCAGCACAGTGGTGACGTGGCATAGTTGGATCAAGTATAATAATATCTGACAGTGATTAAAATCACTATAAAAAAAAACGCTTCGATGCAAATCTTTAGATAGTGTTTAATTTTAAAAAATTGGTAGAATATTCCAAAAGCTACATGATCTGCTATTTCCTTATTAATATCCTGATTAAGATAAAGTATGTCGAATGAAAAAAGGGATATAAATATTCTCAAAAAAAAAATTGTATTGATCCATACACTTTTCATTAGCATTATTAATTTTTTTGTGAAAAAGTTGTCATTTTGAATCGCCCCTGTAGTCCGATTAATAAAAAAAAATATACCAAATGATAAGTAAAGATATCAAGCATCTATTAAAAAAATATATATTGATTTATTCATTTTTGAAAAAGTTATGGCAGTTTTAAGTAAAAAAAATTTCGAAAATTAGCGATTTTTAAATTTCTATTTTTTTTGGAGGTTTCCCCCATTAACGGGGAACGAGGGAAATTTTTTCAATTTTTAAGGATAATGTCTTCGACTAGATACGATTTGTGATCTTTTGACATATCTTTGAAAGAAATCGGTTCGGCGAGAGCTGAGAAAAAGTGGCAACAGTCACAAAAAATAAATAAATAAAAAAAAAACAGTAAAATTAATATTTTCTCAGCTTCGCATTGAAGCTAAAAAATAATTAAGAACAAAAAAAATTGTTTTAAATTAATACTGATTTTGTTTATTAATATGTTAAAAATAATGAAAATGACATATATATAAGTAGGTTAAATATATTTAACCTACTTTTTTAATCCTTTAAAGTTGATTTTTGTGAAAGTTTATAATTAAAAAAAAAATAATTTATTACTAACTTTTAGCTCAATTTGCAAGTTTGAAATTGACATGATTAAATAGGAAATTTTATAATAACTATTTGTGGTAAATTTATCAAAAAAGCTCAATATTTTTTTGCATTTTTGTCGTAATAGATAACTTAATTAGAAATAATAGTAATCATTTCCTAGTAACTTTTGTTGTTTAAAAATATTCTATAATTGAAAAATGAACTGAATTAATTTTAATAATTTACTTTAACTAAAATAACTAAAAAAAAAAAGTTAAAAAGATCTAAAAATACATTGTTAATTCAGGAAAACTAACTATCATTTTTTTTAGAAATGATGTATATAGCAACATGTTACTAAAATATTTAGAATATTATAGTCAAGTAGTAGCACACACAAATAGAGTAAAAAAATCAATAAATTACAAAGTAAATTGATTTAATTTTGTAATTAAAACCTATCATATGTAACATGATTCGTCAATAAATACTTTAAAAACATTATAAATAAATTATTTTAATTGTCTGTATGGAAAACATGCAACTGTTTAATTGATAAATAATTAATTTATTAATAAAATAAGAATTTTGTTTCAATTTTTGAGGGTAATATCTTCAACTAGATATGAATTGTAATCATTTGATGTATTGTTGAAAAAATTATGTCAAACGAGAGCAGAGAAAATAAATGATAGTAACAAAAAAATTCCTTCTCAGCTTTGCATCGAAGCAAATATAGTAAAATAATTTTAATACGAATAAGAAATTTTTTCTAAAGAGGGGCGACTACAGTGATAGGATCCTTGATCTTTATTGAATTTATTGAATCTAAATGAGATAAAAATCAAAGTTGAAAATTTATTCTAACTTAAAAAGAATTAAGAAAAAAATGCAAAAAATTCATTATCATATACGGGTTGAACCCCAACCCCAAGCGCGTAATACACAAATGTTCCTGACTCAGCAACGGTAAGTCACTAGTGTCGACTAAAAAAAAACCCAGCACAGGGGGGTCGCGGCACAGTGATGCCAACGATACGTCAAAAGATCACAAATCGTATCTAGTCGAAGACATTACCCTCAAATTTTTTCAATTTTCTTTACTAAAAACTGCCGTATATGTCACACAAAGTAAATTTGCGTAAACAGATTTATTTATTAGGTCATACTGTCAATCAAATTTTTGGCTGTAAATTACCTTCTAATATACAAGTTCTTAGAGTATTGTTTCATAATATACGTGAAGTCAAATTAAGCATTCGTGATAGTGCACGATTAGTAATAGATGAGGTTTTAATATTTTGGCAAAAAGCTCGCATTCCAACTCGTGAAGTACGTCACTGTATATTAAAATTGGAAGCAATTTACGACGAATGGCGAAGTTTGCAAAAAAATGCATCACGACAAACTGATACTCAAAAAAAAAAAGAAAATTGTTTTATCGATAAATTTGACGACCTTTTTGATATAGCACATGCTGACGCTATGAATCTGATGAGTATTGAGTTGGATAAACAATTTTTAATTCGTCAACGTGAAAAAGGTCGTCCGGGATCGTTGAGTGGAATCGATTATGATTCATATCAAGCTGAACAAAAAAAGTATTTACGCTTTGAAAAAACAGAAAAAAGAAAAAAACGTACTTATGATGAAATAAAAGCATCGTGTAAGTGTTTAATTAACTTATAAATGTTCTATTATATTATATTGTTTATGAATAATAATTGCAGATGATACAGTTAAGTTTTATTCAGGATCGTCAGAAAGTGACACTGACGATGATAGTCAAATCATGTCGACCAATGATGATTTAATTTTTGAGAAAACATTATGTGAACCTGGTCCATCTACTAGTAAACGAGCTTCAAAACAGTTTCTCACTAACAAACTTGTAGCTGCATTGGATAGATGTATGATCAGTGACAGAGACGCCACTCATTTACTTATGGCAGCGGCTGAAGCATTTGGTCAAAACGTTGATAGTTTGGTAATAAATCGTTCGTCAATACATAGAGAACGTGAAAAGTTACGTAAAGAACGAGCTTTAAATTTACGTGAAAATTTTCAAATTAGCTTATTTAGTAATGCAGTCGTACACTGGGATGGCAAATTGCTTCCTTCGTTAACTTCAAAAGATCTTGTTGACCGATTACCAATAATTATTTCTAGTGGGGATCATGAACAACTTCTAGGTGTACCAAAATTATCAGAAGGAACTGGAGAGGAACAGGCTATAAAAGTATATGAATCAATTGAAGAATGGGGCCTAAAAAACTCAGTTGTAGCTGTTTGCTGTGATACTACGTCTTCAAACACCGGTAGATTAAAAGGCACATGTATATTATTAGAACAACGTCTTGAAAAAGATTTGTTGTATTTACTTTGTCGACATCATATTTATGAAATTGTTTTAAAAAGTATTTTCGAAGAAAAATTTGGTTCAACCTCAGGGCCTAATGTTCAACTTTTTAAAAAATTCCAAGAAGGCTGGAGTAACATAAATACAAATAAATTCAATCCAGGTATAGAAGATAAATATGTTAGTGAAAAATTATGCGATGCCAAACAACGTGTACTTGAATTTTCGCTAATTATTTCAAAAGAAAAACAGTTTAGAGAAGATTATAGAGAGCTATTAGAACTGTCTATAATTTTCCTAGGAGGAATCCCACATCGCAGTATATTGTTTCGAGTTCCGGGAGCATTCCATCACGCCCGATGGATGTCCAAAGCGATATATTGCCTAAAAATATATATTTTTAGAAAACAATTTCATATGACCGCAGAACAAGAAAGAGCATGTCGAGATATTTGTATATTTATAATATGTGTTTATATTGAAAGATGGTTTCGCTCACATGTTGCAATTGAAGCACCTTATCAAGATCTTTCATTTGTTCATTGTTTGATTGAATATGAAAAAATAGATAAAAATATATCAAAAATTGCATTAAAAAAATTTTGTGGTCACTTGTGGTACCTAACTCCCGAAGTAGCAGGATTATCATTTTTTGATTCAAATATTCCTTTATCAATGAAATTAAAAATGGTACAGTCACTAAAAAATCACGATGACAATGCAAATGTAATTAAGCGTTATGTTGTTCCAATAAATAATTATGCGTCTCTAAAAAATAAACAAATTTATGAATTTATAAATAGTTCATCGATAAAGTTATTTGAAAGATTTAACATTGCCACCGATTTTTTGAACCAAAATCCGTTAGATTGGAATGAAAATGATAATTACCAAAAAGGTAAATCTTTATTTAATCAGTTGAAAGTCATCAACGATGCAGCTGAACGAGGAGTTCAATTAATAAGTAATTTCAATGAAATAATTACTAAAGATGAAGAACAAAAACAATTTTTAATACAATCGGTTTATGACTATCGTAAGAAATATCCTGATGCAAAAAGAAGTACTCTCTCTAGAGAATTTTAATATTATTTATTTTATAGCGAAATTTTAACCTTGCATTTATTAAAATTACAATATTTTTTATAACACATAAAAAAATAAATAAATACTTTCTCAGTTTCACATTCAAGCTAATATGTACTGGAAGTGTGTTATTTTTATTTTTCTTATAAATAAGCCAAAATAATCTATTATTTTGTCAATATAAAATTTATTATAGTATAAAACCGAGTTTTTGTTATTTTGTGATAGAATGAGTCGTTTTATGAGAAAAACACTTATAACAAATATTATTGTAAATTTAATTTTAAAAACATTTTATAATAAGTTATTTTTTTCTATAGTTAATACTTTCGGATTTAATCGCAAAAAACTGAAAAACACCTTTTTTAAAAAATGTTTGAACTTTTAACTTTTACGAGGTAAATACTTGACTTACGACTTTTTTAGTAATGAACTTTATTATTTAGAATATTAATATCTACAATTTTTTTCTTATAAACGTTTACGTAAATGTCATAGTTTTTGAGATAAACCACAATAACTGAAAAACTACCCTTATTACCGAGTTTTCAACCCTCTTGAGGCACGGCTTAGGGTTGACCAAAATTAACGAAATTAAGTATGAACCATTTTTTTATAGTTTAGAACAAATCTGGGGGGTGGCCCGATCAAATTTCGAAAAAAAAAATTCTACACCTATAAGCTAAGGACCACCCTACTGTATATACGTAAGGCGCATTACACAAGGGCGGTATTGGTCAGTCAATATAAAAATTTGTTTATATATATATAATTGTTGTCACGCACGCGTGTACGGGTACGAAATCCAAAAATAAAATTTTACAGGAAAATATTGTTGTTAGCGATAGGTGAGCGGGGTGGGGGTGAATGCTTTACGACAGTCTAGTCTCAAGGCTTTAGACGACCTGGTACGGGAGTATAACACGTGGCTGGTGGAGATTTAAAAACAACAAACCCACAACATACAAGTGAAACTATTATATGCGTGTCAAAAATGTTTCACTATTCTAAAATCAAAAAAGAAAATATTGTGCAATGTAAATATTTTTATTCTGGGATGATCTATAGGCCTAAGTTCCTCTAAATATGCCTATGCATACCTTAGAATAAAATATTTCAATTTCAGGTACTAGATATTTAAGTAGGGTGATCCTTATTTTCTAATTTAAAAAATTTGATCAAATACGTTCTTCATTTTGTTCGACTAGATAAAAAAATACTTGGTATTTGGTAAAGTTTATAAATGGTAAACTTTGAACAATATCTCTTTTCCATCCCACGGAGAGGTTAAAGTTTGACTAGAATAGTTTTTTAATTTTACAACATTATTTTATTATGTAATGCATTTACAGAAAAACACATAGAACAAAATATAGATCTATACATTTCTTATAAAAAATCTATCTAATAAATTTTTTATAAATTGTTTATTTTTTGTAAAAAATAGACAACTTTTAATTTATCCAACAGATCTGACATAAATAACATATACTACCACTACTGTTGATAGATTAATGTATTTGATAAAAAATATTTAAAAACCTTTCGTTATTGATAACCTGTATGAAAAACTTTTAGTTTAAAAAATACATTCCATAACTCGACTCATATTATGTACAAAAATATCAAGCATATTTATGAACTTCATATTACCACTTTAATACAAAAAAAACAGTTAGGCTAATTTTTTAGTGTTTAAGGAGCAACTACTACTACAAATAAATTTAATTTTATTAAGTCAGTACAAAATTATAAATAACCAAAATATTATAAATATTTTATATTATTAAAATAATTCAATTTTGTTTATTTCCTTAAAAGTTACATTTAAAAAATTTATCAAACTTAGTTTTACAGAAACAATAAATTTTCTAAATAAATATAGAAAGATAAACAATTAAATTAATTAAAAACTGTTAATGACTGTTGGTGGGAATTACATCTCATAAACTATTGATAAACACTGTTAAATAATTTACATTGATTTTTATTGTAACTTAATTTATTTGTTTATCAAAAAATGTATAAAATTATTTTAACTTTAAAAAGGTATCTCAATGTGCCTGATAATTAAACTATTCAGTATTTTTTGAGCAGCGCGTCTTTTGTAACAAACATAAATCACTAGTTGCTGCATTACGACCAGATGACAAATTCAAATCATATATGTTCAATATTAAATCCACAGTAAATAAGTCTGGGACACAACGAATCAAATTTGGAAGCTAAAAAAGATTGGTATTTTAAAAAACCATAAAAATTAAAGTAAATAAAATATTACCACAGTAGGTGGAAGGTGTTTAAGAATAATTTGTGAAGAGCCTCGACCAGACAAGACTAATTGTTCAAGTAATCTTAAGACAAAATGAGTTTCTTGGCAAAGTTGCTCATGTCTAGAAGCAACAACAGCAATGCGTCTAAATAATGCAATCAGTGCTCTTTGTAAAGATCCATCAATAACTGAACTATTAATATCACTATCTCCGCCATTCATTCGCATAATTTTTTTGGGTGGCCACATATTATCTATATCCTGTAATTAAATTAATTCCATACAAAATGAATATAAATAATCAATTTCATTTACTATTATATCCATGCTATTTGTACTCTTGTGAACATCATTCTTTATAATGCTGTTTTGTTGCAATTCTACAGATGCATATATGCAATAAGAACATAATTTTGCTAATGCTGTTTGCTGAGGTTCAATTAGTTCAACATTACTGAAATAACACCATTAAAAGATTTAAAAAAATATAATAATTAAAGTTAAAAAGAACTTTATCACTGTTTTGGGAAGAGTAATTGTTTCAAGAAATGCAGTAAAAAAATTGTAATCATTATTATAAATTTATTTTAGAAAAATGTAATATATATTTAAATCTATTACATTTATTTTTTTTTCAATAACTAAAAAAAAAAAAAATCAGAGCTTTTGATGAGGTTTTATAATTTTATGGAATATATTATTTTAGAGATACTATAAACATAGTTGAGATTTGAACAAGCACTATTAATAGCTTGTAAGAAAATTGTTATTTCTATAAATTATTAAGATATATCCATTAGTTATCTACCACTAGAATACACACATGTATATGAACATTAATTTCATTAAAAAAAAAGTTTTATTAAAGATTATCAAAATTTAAAGATAACTTATTAAAAAAATATTATAGTCCTATAAGATTTTTAATTGCCAGTTATTTTCAATAATAAAACAATTTTAACAAAAGTTTATTTATAAAAGTTATTAGAATAATACTAGATCCAGGTGGACTTTTTTTTCAATTTATAGACTCATTTTTTATCATTTTGGGATCATTTATTATGATTTACAAATAAATTTAATAAATAATTAAATAAATCTATAAAACAAAATCAGTCCACTAAGAACTGAGATTTTAATAAGTTCATGGAAATTAAGAAATATGCTAAAATAAAAATCAATACTATAATAAAATACAATATAAATGTTGTAATAATGTAATTATTTATGAAATCAAACTCTAATGATCCTACAATCCAATGTTATACTTATTAAATGAAAATCAACACTATCAAAGGCTCGAAAGTTAAAAAAAAGTGAATACATAAAAATTACTTACATAGCAGGATTAAATAAATATTGAGGCATAAGTTCCAACAATGCTAGAGTACAACATTCTACATCAAAATGAAATATAGCAAATAATAAATCAACAGCCTTTTCTAATTCATCACGGTATTGCAGTTTCATCATTTCCTTTATAGAAGAAATTTAATAGTAAATAAATATTAATTTAAATGTTTTATAAAATATATTATACCTCCAATCAACAAAAATAGTAGCATAACTCAAAAAAACAAATTACAAAACAGAGAAAATAATATAGTTAATTTGATACTATTTTATAACAAATATTTTTTTCATAGTATTTTTTATTTAAGTTAATGGTAATCAGAAGAAGAAAAATTTCAAGTTATGTCACTATTCTTACAAATAGGTAATAATTTGTATATTTTTTTAATCATTATTAACCACCTTAATTAAATTATTGACAAACCAATCAGCCCCCGCAGTGAACAATGTAGTTCTAAGTTTTTGGGCAGCTTTTACATTTAACCAACCTTCTTCAAGAATGTCTTCCCAGACAGGTATTAATTGTTCAAGAATTGAGTCTTTTGATACAATACTAAAAAAAAAATTAAATTTCTATATTTTATAATTTATAATATATACATTAAAGTGGTGTTTATATAGTATATTTTTAAGTTCTGCATTGAATAGTCACCAATTAGCGGTTTTAAATAGGAAAACTGAGGAAGAGAAATAAAAATCTAAACAAATTTTGGTTATTTTTAGTTTTTGCTACTTAGAACTAATTAATGGTTAAACAATATCATGTATTATTTAAGGATTCTAATATATATATAATTATTACTTATGAGAAGGTTTAGCAGGCATTGTTGGAGGATGTAAATCTTGTTGCATTTTTCTTATTATTTCACACATTAATACTTGACGACTAAAAATATGATTAATTAAAATTATATTAATATGGTAAAAGTAGTAATCTATTGAAAATTAGATTAAAGTACCATTCAGAATAATTATCTTGACTTTCATTAGTTTCAGGCACAACATTAAGTAATTGTTGAACCATATTCATTGGTTTCAGTGATGCATCTTGGTGTAGAACCTAATCAAAATAGAGTATAAAAAAAATTAGTATATTAATTATAAATAAGAACAAACCTGCATGTAAGAACACAACCAAGCAGCAGCACAGATTGGTAAACAAAGCATGGAGGTACGCAATGAATCTAATATACGTTTAACGTCATTACTACTTAGAGTTGAATTTTCCCAAGCAACTACAACATCATGAGTAACCCCAATTATAGTAAGACAAATTTTATCCCAACTTGAATCACTGAAAATGATTTTTGATCAATGTTTTATAATATATATTTATCTAAATTAACTTTTTAATTGCAAATACTAACCAATTTATAATATCTTCTCCTTTATCAATTGCAGTTAGTAAGGCTTCTACTTTACCAGGATCACACTCTCCCATTACATTTTCATGAGATTTTGGATTGCCATGTTCAACCATGCATTGTTTGTACCATTTTTCAAAAAATGTATCATTTCCTCCATCAGGAAAAATAGCCTTAATATTAAAATTACATTAATTTATGTTAATACATCTATACATATATATATATATATATTATTTTACTTGATATCCATATTTTTGGGTAATGAAACATAACATCAAAAATGTCATATCAAATAGTACAGCATTAGTGCGTACTAATTTAGGGCTATCTTGTAAGTTAATATGCTTACTAAACTCATTAAATTTAATCAGTTTTGCAACAAACATTCGTAATTTGCCTTCAACAGCAGCTGCAGCCAATATTAATTCTAAACTTGTTCCTGTTAATGCTTGACTTAGTACACCAACTAATGCTTCCTAAAAAAGACAGTCAATTACTTTCAAAGATTTTATTTGAGGCTCATTAAGGAAATTTTACTTGAATTTTTGAAAAATCAGAATCTAAAGTTCTTAGCATTCGCTGTAATGTTGGCTCAGTACGCATGATGATTGTTAACACATTTGATGGAGGATCTGGACTACTGAGAGTTGAAACCACACTAGCTCTAGTTCATTATTAAAAAAAAATTATATTATGCATAACAATCGGTTGTTTAAATTTATTGTTTAATTATTATAAAATAATAAAAAACAATACCTTTGGGATATTATGGAGCTGCATTGACTTTCTGTAACAAAGTCTTGTTTTATAAGTTCTCTAAGAAGTAGTTCTATAGAACTGCATGCTGTATGAGAATCAATGAAGTCTAGCAATGGAAACATGTCCAGCAACATTTCAAAACCTTGAATAACTTCCTCAGAAGCTTTAAAACTTGCAGAATCTTTGCAAAGTTGTTTTATGATATGTGGTAACTTTATAAATGTAAATGCCCCCCATTGTGGGCCATGATCTTCGTTACTTAAAGAATCTCGTAAACACATTAGACATGCACGAATCAATTCACAGTATAGTCGTGAATTACTGTAACTCTATTAAAAATGTTTATCAATTTAAAAAGTACACTATTGAAAAAAAAAAACTTACTTTTATTTGACGAATCATTTTTAGCTTATCTACTAATACTTGAGTTTCTGCTGTAGGATTTAACATAACCCGTATTGCTAATAATGGTTGTAACACATATGTAATAGGTTCATTTAAAGTTGTTACAGATTCCATGGAAGTAAGATTAGTTGAACTCTTATAGTCAATATTACATAGACTTCTAAAATATTAATTATACTATTAAGGTAAATTATATTTATTGCAAGTCCATTTTTACATTAGAATATTATTTATATACGGTGCACTTGAAACAACTGAATTTTGGGTGTCTTGACTAATATCTTGACATTTCTTCACAATAACAAGGTATAGATCTAAACAAATTTATTTTAAAAATATATAAAACATTATGTATTTTATACATTTTGTGAGTGTAGATGATGTGGGAGATCGTGTTTAGGAAGTTTAGGATAAGATTGGCTGACCCCAAGTAGTTGAGATTAAGGCGAGTAAAAAAAAGAAGAAGATATAAAACATCATTATACCTTTATATTGTATAAGGGAGGCAATCACTACATTTTTGAGGAAAATTATAACTTAAATAAATAAATATCTTAATTTATTCTAGGATGGCTTATTGTAACAATGACTAAAAATCTCAATATAAAAAATCACTTAAGTTTCATTAACATACCTGGATCTTCATGTTTTGCTAAATAAAGTAATGCAAGAATAAAATCATTTTTTAATAAGGATTCTAATATATCAACTGCAATAATAATAATGCGCTTTTCAAGAGGATCTTTTACTTCATTTTTTGATGAATGTCCACAACGAATGCATGATAGTAACCAATCAGCTAAAGAAAGTAATGCTCCAGGTAGAACACTTTCTTCAGGTTTACCTCTACACGTTATTCCATTCTAAAATAAAGAAAAAAATTAGACTTGCATAGTATTCATTAATAAAAGCAAAGTTACTTAAAAAAGATTTATATTTTATGTTCAATATTATAAAAGCATAAAAAAAAATAAATAAAGGTTAATTTTAAAAGTTATTATATAATGGACAAAGACACTATCAATGATGGAAAAAATTAATTAAAAATAAAATAATAAATAACTAAGAAAATAAAATAGTTGCTAATCAATACATTAATAAAGGCATAATATTTTATTTATTTTAAGTTTGGTTTGTACTAAATTATAGTATAATACACACTAGGGTTGTTTTAAGGAAATCCAATAACACAATAACACATGATCTTTTATAAAATTTATCATATTTGCTGATACGTTGAAGAATTGCTGCATATGATACCAGCTAAAAAATCATGAATAATTTATTAAATAATTGTACAATTTTACAAAACTTATAAAATATATTGAATGTATAAAGTAACATACTTGGCAGTTTAAGGAATGTCTTAAATAAGAAAGAACAAGTTCATTGGGATAAGAACCTACTAAGGCCTGTGATAATATGATGTCAGCTAAATTATAAACATCACCACTGACACCTCTAGGTAGCACCTGTAAAAATGTATATTACTTTAATAATAGTTTTTAAATATGTTAAACAAACATTTCATTCAGAAATTGTACACAAGGGACGGTATAAATTTAATTATACTTATAAATAAATAAGATTTACATATTATAAATCAATTAAATTCTAAAAAAATTAAACATACATTTTTTACTATTATCTTTTTCTACTTTGACAGATAAAATTATACATCAACAAAAAAATGTTGTACACCAAATTAAAACTAAATATACTTTTGTGATTACATATACTCTAATTCTGTATAGTAGTATATATTTAATTTTGAAAATATATCTATTAATCTTAGTTTTTTTAATATAGATTATTTCTTATTTAAAATGATCATTGAATATTATAAATAACACATTTCTGTGATAAAATGTAATTGAACCTTAGTTTGAATTTTTAACAAATTGAAATGTATTATTTTTTTGAAAATATTTTAATCAAGGTTGCTTTGTTTTAAATTTGTATAAAACGCCAAACATTTTTTAATTTACATTGGTCTTATAGGATTTTTTAATGTCCCATTAACGTTTTCAACTATTTAATAGTATTTAAAACATGATTTTTAATAACTCTGATTTAATATTATGTACTGTAATTATAAGTTATTTATTTCAATGTTTCTAATTACTAAGAAACATAATATTTTAATCTAATCAATTAAATATTGACACACCATATTAATTGGCAAATAATTAACATTATAATATATTTTAAATATTTAAGCAGCTATTCATTTAAAGTTTTCTTTAAGTATATGATATGAATTTTAAATTTTAAAACTTTAATACTGCACTAATATATTTATTATTTTCAAGATGAATAACATAGTAACATAATTAAGTATAGAAATATATTTATATCATAATAAACACGAGAAATTGGAATAATTTTCAAAAGTATTATAGCTATTAAATTTACAACACAATATTGAAGTTAATTTTTATTTGTAAATAAATGAAAAGGTTCAATATGTTAATTATAGTTCATATTATAAATATAAAAATTACATAAACTATTCATATAATCTTAGTTAGAATTCCTTTCCCAAGAAAATTTTTTCATGACGTTCATAAACTATAGGTAATATATTTGCAAAATTTCCAGGATCAGTTAGAGATCCAGACTGACCAACTGGCATTTCTGAAGTATATAATTCTCTTCGACATACTTCTCTTAACAAATAGTCACAATCAATAGATCTGTAAAATCGTGTGTCATGCACACGCATTATAACACCATCAACACGTAAGAAAAATCTCAAAAGTGCAAATAAACCACTAGGCATACATCGGATTTTTACAGAGCAAACAGCAACACCATTGTCATGTAGCTCATCTTCAAATAATATGAGGTCAGAATAAAATAATATTTCTTCTTGCTCTTTGAGCTTTTCCATGTTAATGCGTTCTTTTGTGGGCTCAATTAAAGTTTTCCCAAATGTTGTGCCTTCATAATATGTAGAATAAGTCCAATCAAATGGATTTACATCTTTGTCGACTAGTCCAGTATCCATTCTAGATTCTTTCCATTCTTTAGAACAAGCTATTTTTACAGGAGCTTTGTGTGGATCTACATCTTTAAGTGCATCTAATGCACAAAAACGTATTCCTGATTGATTAAAATTAATTTCTAAAGTATTGTTTGGAAATACCATTTCTGGTAAATGATGAAGTTTTAACTCTACAGAAAAACGACAAAAATCACAACAAGAAGCAATTGGCTCAGTTTTGCGAGACGAACATCCAGATCCAAGAATGTGACTTTTAGAAGAAATAATTGTCCACTTGTTTGATTCAAATTTTTCACATTTGGCTGTCATATTGAGTAGATATTATAGTACCTGATTAACAAAATTATTTAAATTTTGTCACTAAACTAATACCATTAGTAAATTAAAGTAAATATTGCAATTACATAAATAAAATTACAATGTAATATATTTTAATTATAATCTATAAAATATCTCAACTTTTTTAAATGCTGCAGAATTTATGTTTTTTGTTTAACTTATATTACGTCTTATATGAATTGGGTACAATTTTTTTCAAAAAAATTAACAATATTTATAAAATCTGAGAAAGTTTTATAATTATTGACAAAATACAATATTAAATATATATTTTATAATCTTTATTCGTGTAATTTTTAATATAATCTAGTAAAAGTAGTTACATCTTTTACTTACAGATTTAATAGATATACCCCACTGAATTTCTGTCCAACGTTCTCCCCATGCCTTTAAGACTAAAGATTTTAAGCTGCTTGTTTTACTTGTCACTTTACTAACCTCCATTTACATGAAGATTTGATAAAACATTTCGATTCTAAAATGAAGTTTTTTTTTAAAACTATTAGAAGAATTCCAACAATATCTCTTTTTATAGAGCTTTTCATTGATAAAAAAATGCAATATCTAATTTAATAAATTGAGACTTACAATTTAAAAAATTATTTACTCACCTAAAATAGTATTAATTAAACTCTTCTAATTCTATTGAACAAACCTAGATTTAAATATTATAAAAACATAAATAAAATACTTTTTTATACTCTTAATTAACATCAACGATGTTGATAATATCTAAAAGAAACCGCCGATTAGACAATGTTTAGACCATAATTCAAACATTTAATATCTAACCACTAACTAGGTTACAAATCTATAACCATTTTGCCACAGAATATATCATTGTATTATAAAACACTACAGTACAGAAAAGAGAGCATTCTGGCGGACAATGAATTAATTAGTGTTGGGACACATGTAAGACTACTTACAAGGATATTTTACAAAAACATCTATAGCTTATAAATAAACAATTTAATAAAAGATATATAAATGAACTATAGTATTTAATATAAAATAATAAATATAATTAGCTACTTAAAACCTAATTTTTATAAACAAAAATATTATGAGAAAAAAATTGAAAAAACTATCAATTTTAGAATTTTAAATTTTAGAAAATATTTGTATACTAAGCGCATATAATGAACTCCAACGCTTGTTGACTTCATTTTCGCCAGAGCATTCTCTTTTCAGTCTGGTGCACTGTGATTACAAGAACGCGATAAAAATCATTTAACATCATATTAGACTTACCATTCACTTTATCACGGTTCTTTAAAAAGTTCATCGATCCGGACCTGGTCAATGAACGACGGACGGGTCGGATATAAAAATAATAAACGCAGTACTTCATTGCAGAGGTGTAATAAAGTAGTCTGGTTGGTATCTAATAATATGCACAAGGGCAACGGAACGGCAAGTCAGTTCACGAATACCATGTAACGTGACTATGTACAAGACCTTAACCAACCAGTTTAGTATAATATTCTACAATATTAATATAATGAATGATCTATTGCTTCGTCGTTCTCTACTCAGATTTATTAACTCTAAATAATTGGGATAACATAAATTTACTTACTTCTTTTTTCGCAAAATGAATTGTAAATCAAAGACAATTCGACAATCCTTCTGATATATAGAGGTATCAAATTCGTACCTCGTCACAAAATAATAAGTCAAAACAAATACTTTTCGTATGTATGCAAGCAAGACGCATAAAAAGATAGCTGACAACAATACGGAGTTGTGGCTAATAATTGTTTTCTTATTTGAATTCGGCGAAAGCGAACTGGTGTCTGAAAGGATTTCAGTACTTTGTATAGTGTGTGATAGTACCCCCAATCCAGGGATATTGTTGTCAGCTCTTTTAGTGATCTTTTTAGTTTATTGTACTTAATTATACATTACATGATTATTATATTGAGATAGCATATTTAACAATTAATAAATTGACATATATATATATATATATATAAATAATAAGAAATTGTGTTGAACAGTGTACATATTATGACAGAAAAGTTATTTGTTTGTTTATAAGTAATATAAAATACAGATTATACATTTTTCATTGATAATTATCAATTACATTATAATGCAATATACGCATATGCCAAACAATTGGCCATATACGACATTTTGTTGGATAAAATACATTTTGAAAAATAATAACTAACATAATCATAATCTAGCTTCATTTCTTTATCATCTGTATTTGTTATGACAGATAAATTATTTGTTTGTTTACAAGTTATTTAAAATACTTTAATAATCATCAACGACAGTTGTTTTTAATCTGCCTGTATTTTTTTTTTATAAAAAAAGATTTTAATTATTTAAAAAATAATAAAAATAAGCACATATGCTTTTTAGGAGAGATAAAAAACTATTTTGTTTTGTTATATGATCAAATGCTACTTGTAAAATATTTATTAATGTAAAATAATATGCTAATAAATCTTTGTCGAGCCAAAAATATCACTTAGGCAAAATAACCTAAAGCTTATTTAAATATATCACTATAATAAACAATCAGTCAGAATTTACCTAATCATAAACCACTCAATTACACTCAAAATAAAAAACAATTATATTTAAAATAAAATATTTTAAAAACCAAAAATCTAATCAAAGTTTTCCGTATTCACAAATAAAATCAAAAAAGTTAAACCAAAATATTTGAAAAACGAAGCTATTGAAAAATGTGTTAAATATTGTTGCTTAGACATAAGACGTATGGCTGTTATAGAAGGTGAAAGTTTTTTACAATTTGGACAGTTTTAATTAGATTCTGGTATAAAATTTGTTAAACTCATATCTCGGTATATAGATAAGACCACTAAAGAAATAAGACAAAATTTATTCAAAGATTTATTTCAAAGTATAGTCAATAAATATTGTGCATCTTATGGACAAATAATACCGTAATAACTATATGCCATTTACTTTGCACTATGTAGACGATAACTAGGAATTAAAAAGATGATTACTTTTTACTGGTCAATTTCCCTCAAATGAAACAAAAACTGGCGAGAATATAAAACGTTTTTTACACAATTTTGTTTTTCAAATAAGTGAGGCTACAAATTAAACTAATTGTGATTTAATGTCTAATATAACATTTATTACTAGTTTTAGTTTTAGTTATTATCGAAGTGGACATAATGCCCATGCACTCAAACCTGTTGGTCCATTGTGCGCACCTCATACCGAATTGTCTTGATTCGGTTTATCCACATAAGTGTTATCACCGAAGTGTTAATACATTACCAACCATAAAGTCACTTCTAAAGATGACCAAAGAGTCCTGTCTTTCTGGCGAAATTAAGTATCTCTCTGAGTTTTAGGTATTTAATATCTTCTTTTTCGGGAAAAGGTGGTTTATTCAAGTAGCTTGATCTTAATTTGGACAAGGCTTCACATTCACATATGATGTGAAATGAGTCTTCTTCTTCTACTCCACACTTCCTGTACAATGGTGATTCCGATACCTCCATTGCGTTAAGATGTTTAAGCAGGTGACCATGTCCTGTCAGTAGACCAGTCAGGATGCTTATTTGATGTCTAGTCATACTATTAAGATCATCCAGCAATAGACCAGGGGTCTTGATAAACATTTTAGATTGTCTAAGTACTACCAACTACTTCCAGATTTTCCTGTGTTGTTCTTTGCACAAATTCTTGGGTAGCGCTTTGAGAGATTGCTCAGTGAGTCCTACCACTGGTTCTGGTCCAACGTAGGTGTTCTCTGCTCCTTTCTTGGCTAGAAAGTTAGCATTTTCATTTCCAGTGACACCGTTGTGTCCTGGTACAACATTTATTACTAACTAAATAACTAATATGATATCAATATTTAAAAGTTCTAAGCGTCTTAATTGCTTTGCATATTTACTTAACACAAGAAGTAGACTAGATGGAACACACGATTATTAATGTTACAATCTGTCCAGAAATTATTGAGATTCATGGATGAACATTAAGTTATGTAAAAAATATTAACGGAGAGGTACTGAAAAAACTAGTTGAATTTTTAGAACCATTTAAAGCAGCATCTGATGACCTTGAATCTGATAAACGCATTACTATTCAAAAAATTATTTTGCATCAAATGTTATAAAAAAAATATTTAACTAAATTTACAGAACTGCAAGAATACAATCATATTAACGACGATGATGTCAACATTTCGGTTATACTAAAATTATTAGGTAAGAAAGGATTAGAATTCACGAACTCCAAATTCTAGTTAAACATGAAATAGCTGCATTTATATCGCGTGAAATTCAAATCGTTAAAAATGTTTTCTGAAATTGGAAATTTTAGACGAATTTAATGTGAAGTTATATAAAATTCAATCAGATAAAATTAATGAAATTTATAGTGATTCACAACAAGAAATTATGAATCGGTCAAATAATTAAAAAAAATACACTTTTTTTTTGGAATGGGAAGACGTTTCAAGTGTAGAAATTCCAGAAGGTCACTTTAATTATAAAAAGGAGAAAGAAGAATACAAAAATAAATACTTCGACGTCCATGAAGACAACTTATTCAAATTTTATAAAATAAAAAATTTGAATTACTATACTTGTCAAAATTAGCACGACAAATATTGGTTATTACGGCTAATAGTGAAAGTAGTGAAAGATCATTCAGTATTGCTGGAAGGATAATAGAAAAACGAAAAAGTTGTTTAAACTGTTTGATAGTTGATGGCATGGAAAAATGAAAATTAGTAGTTGCCGGGGTTGAGATGGCCACCGTACTTAGAAGTATCGTATCCAGGTCGATTCAGTACGGCAAAGTCCATTTTTGAATTGATGAACATTCCGCCGTGGAGCTAGGATATCAAGAAGATCGACGGCTGGCAGACGTTTAATTGATTCTTATATTATTTTGTATGTATATTATTTAATATGTATGTAAAATTGTAAGAACAAAGTTACAAAGAACAAAGTTGTTTGTATTTTTTTTTCTATCATATTATAACATTAAATATAGGGGTTCCTATTAAAGAAAATTATAAATAAAATTTTTTTCCCTGAAGGAACAAAAAAAAAATTCACTACATATTTTTGTAGAGATTTTTGAATCTGATATTTTTTTCTTTACAAATATTTAAAACTCTTACCAGATTTTGATCACTCTGTACATATAATCATAAATAATAATATATTTAATTAATAAAAACCCAGCACAGTGGGGTCGTGACATAGTTGGGTCCAGTATAGATGATATCTGACAGTGATTAAAATCACTATCATAAAAAACGCTTCGATGCAAATCTGTAGATAGTGTTAAATTAAAAAAAAAAATTTGTTAAAATAGCATATTTTTGAATATGGTAGCCATTTGCGCATAGAAGATAGATCGTCGGGACAAATTTTTTTTTTTCATTTTATAGTACATAAAATAAGCTTTAATTTGATATATGTTTAAAGGACGCAGTATTTCCGGAACATTTTCAAAACTTTGGTTGAAAAAGATCTATGTTTTTTACAATATTTCAAGTTTTGAACGCCCCCTATATAAGGGGAATTTGTCCAATTATAATAAAAATTATGTCAAATGAAAAATGTACTTATAATGTATTTAGAAAAAAAAAATTTGTGCGGATATATACATTTTTCAAAAAGTTATAGCATTAATAAGTTGAAAATTTAAAATCGAAAATTTTAACACAAAAATAGTGTTTTTTGAACTACGGCAGCCGTTTAAATGTAGAAGAAAAAGTGTCGGGACAAATTTTTTTTTTTCATTTTATAGCACATAAAATAAGCTTTAATATGATATATGTTTAAAGGACGCAGTATTTC